ATATATTTACATATTTACTGTCACTTTCAGTCATTTAAAGATTATATATCTTGGAAGTAAAAGTATTACATTTCCACAAAGCAGCACAATATATATATATATATATATTTACTGTCACTTTCAGTCATTTAAAGATTATATATCTTGGAAGTAAAAGTATTACATTTCCACAAAAATATTGAGCAGCACAATGTCTTCAGCAATGAAAAGAATAAGAAATATTTCTTGAACCGCAAAGGGAAGGAAATTAATTTCTGAAGGATCCTGAGTAATGGCTGCTGAAAATTCAACTTTTCCATCACATGAATAAATGACATTTTAAGATATAATAAAATTGTCAATTATAACAATTATTCACAATATAATTTTCTTTTACTGTATTTTTGATCAAATAAATGTAGCCTTTGGGCCAGATTTACTAAAGAGGGCCAATTAGCGTTTAAGCGCAATTCCAAAATAATGCATAATAACCAGTGAAATCTACCAAGAGCAGCGCAAATTACCGCCTACTATAAGACATGTTTTTGGGCGCTAAATAATGGTGCAAATACCAGTAATTTTACGAGCGCAAACATTAGTAAATCGCATTGCGTGGTTAATTTAATACTCTTAGAAACTCCTACAAATGCATATGCCTATTCTATAAGCTCAGGCACAAAAATAACTGTCCACGCCTTTTCAGCGCTAATTCTTCACTGCGCATCTTTAGTAAATCCTGACAGTAGCCTACTATTTTAACGCCAAAAGATGGTTTACGCTAGTGCAAGCTGTCAGTAAATCTGGGCCTTGGTGAGCATAAGAGACTTATTTTAAAATGTTTTAAAAATCTTACAGACCTCAAACTTTTGTCCAGTGAAAAGCTTTAGATTTTGGAATGCTAATTACGTTAATCGGTCCTGGTCAATATATCCATCCATCTATCACTATATAGAGTAAAACACATGGCAGCGCTTCATCATCTGCACAGACAGATTGAAGCTTCACCATAACGCACGCGCACAACCATACAGATGTAGTATGATTTATATTTGAATATGTACATGAACACTATTGTTTCTATTGCGAATGTGTATCTCTTTTTCTAATTTTAACCTCTCGTTTTTGCACATGTCCAACAACTCAATCGAGGATAATCTTCATCTCTTG